TCACCTCCTAGGCCATTGAATGTATGGATTAGGACTTCTTCATCACTGAGAGAATGACCTATCAAAGCTAAGTCATCGATAATAACTTTGATAATTTGTAGATAATCAGCAATAGTACTTCCCTCTTGTTTTGTTTTCATCAGATTGGAGAGAAGTCCGAGCATACGAGTACGTGAGCGATTTGCCAAAGTTGTTTGTAACTTGCACCATGCTTCTGTAGCAGTCGTACATGAGGATATCAGCGGGGCAACGGAAGCTTGAATAGCTTGGAGGATGAGGCGATCTTGACGTAACCATAGTTTGTGGGCTGGATTTGGCACTGGACTGGGTTCGCTTGGGATGTTGACCATGTCAGGTGGACACGGGAGAGAGCCATCAATGTAACCTAGGAGATCATAACCAAATAGAAGATTAGAAAGTTGTGCCCACCAAGATGCGTAGTTACCGCCTTTGGATAATTTGAAGGGAATGGTGTTGCAGCATTGATGGTGATAAGACTTTAAGAAGTACTCAAAATCCCTACAGAAACAGGGATAGGAATATCGGAAGGGGAAAATGAAGACATCCCAGATATTTTGTGGCGCTTTAAGTGACAAGATGTAAAGATATAGGTGGGAGAAAGGAGGAGAAAAGCAGATCAATGCACTGCAGCGCTGCAGAAGCTGCAGTGATGAACTGCAGAGGAGGCTGCAGCGCGATGCAGAATGTAGGAGAGATTGTTGCAGCGAGGTGGGAGAAATCTCTGCAGCTTGCAGCGATTTCTGCAGCGATGCTGGAGAAATCTGCAAGGTTGGAGATAGTTGCAGTAATGCAGTGTTGGAGTTTGGTGGCCGGAAGAGCGGCGGAGTTGTCAGCGGAAGACTTCGGTTGGCAAGGGAGCAGCAGCCGACGGTAGAAACAAAGGCCATGACTGTGCTTCCTTTAGGAGCGTTGCCCACGGATCTGATATTAGCAGCCGCAAGTGCTGCAGTAGGCTGCAGTGAATGGCTACGGCTGAGGGGCGGAGACGTCGCCACGAGAGGGATGATAGAGCGGCTGCGGCTGCGACCCAAGGGGAGGTGGTGGACTCCGGTCGGGAAGCAGTTGTGAGGAGTCAAACAGCGAGAAGAGGGCTTGCTCTAGGCAAACCGCTCTGATACCATGATAAGAATTAAACGAAGAAGATAGAAAGATAGTAAGATGTAATTGGCTAATACATTTGATAGTGAGCTCTTGATAGCTATTTATACACACTCAGCAGGGAGGTTATATATATTCAGCAGGGAGGATTTTTCTCAACTACTTAGAGATTTCCTCAACTGCCTTGAGGAAATCTTATCTATATCACATTTTACTGTTAAAATATCTAAGGGGATTAGATCATCGAACACCACAGTGTGTCTAGGGAAGATGAACTTGTTGGAATCTTGATCGATGATGATTCATGTGGTGTGTGATTGATGTACTATCCGTAAGAAAAAGCATGTTTGCATACTATTATTAGACCATCGTGCAATCTAGACACACAATTCTCATTGGTGTCCAATCTCAGGGTCTTGGATCGCATTGGTGTCCAATCTCATTTACGTTAGTCTGTCTTATATGATTTAAAATCGAGACACACAATTCGAACCAAGATTATCCATTCATATAGTGAGAACGCGGAATGCTTATCAATAACTAGGTGTATTATCTGTAGCAAGCGTCGCCGATAAGAAGTCAGACAATTAAATTGATAGAAATGAGAGAGTAATTTATTTAGTGACAAGAATTTTATTTAACCTAATATCTCTCTTGTCCAATGAGGTTTCAGGGGTGGCATGATATTTCTCTTTTAAAAGAAATTTTTTTTTTATTGAGTTAGCTCTTTCGCATCTCTGGCACCCTCATAGTAATACAGCTCGGGTGTCCACAAGTTTTGTGATGGCACAATGCGGGTATTGCTCCCTCTAACATTAAGAGTACCTTGTGTGGAATGTCACCAGTTCCGCAACTTCGTGTATCTTCCGTCAATCGATCAACTAGGAACTCAACCTTGTCGATTCGAGATTTAACTTTTTTTTACGAGCTTCTCTACCATAAGAAGCTTTTGTTGGCTTTATTAGAGTTCCTCCAGACTTGTTTCAAGAATGTCAAAGTAGGTTTCCAATGTTGAGTCTGTCTTAATGGTTTCTTTTCCCGATTAGTACTCTAGATTGTGCCTCCTATGATTACGGAGAATAGCAAACTTCTCACTTAGGGTAATGGTTTGGCTTGCCCCATCTTGCTTACTATGATGTTTTACCATGACGAGATTATGAAACTTCTTTATTATTTATTCGAATTGCTTGTCAACTTTGATACCACATTGTTATGAACATAGTTGAAATTACATAAGTCATGAGGCACCCTTACAGTAAAGTCATAGACTTAGCTAGAGTTACTTAAGTTGTGAAGCACCCTTAGCGCCAATTTTTTGACTTAACTAGTATTACATAAGTTATGAAGTACCCTTACGATATGCACCTGCAAAGGGTCAGCCTATTTGCAATCTCGCTTAGGTCCCATAGAATATACAAAAAGAGCAAGTTGATTAGTTCAAAAATAAGTAATGGACAAGTCCCGACATCTTGCAAATAGGGCAGCTTTACAGGTAATTTAACAAACACTTTATATGCAAGAGAGAAAAGTGTTGGAAAATCTCATGACAACATCACATGTGCAGCAAAAAAATAAATCAATAATTGTTTTCTTAATAAGGAGCATCGGATCGTCGGGTGATGATCGAGAATGTAAAACTTGAAATCACAAAACCACACTAAGAGGATGAAATGTTCTCACTTAGGGGAGCTCATATATCCCCTAAGATTTCAGATCTAGTCCATCATATGAAAGAGTTCTCACGAACTTCTTTTTAGTGGTGATCCACACTGTGGATGGCAGTGGCAACATACCTCCTCCTTGCTATGGGTCCTCTCCTCATGACAATGCACCAACACGCAACAACACCAAGCAAGAAGGGGTCGGCTCTCTTACTATCCTCTCAAGCCAGCAAGGGGGCTTATAGTAAGGGAGAGAAGGGAGGAAAAGATAAGGAAGCCAATTAAGGGTCTAGCCTATGACCCTTTTAGACCCACTTCTATTAATAGAGAACCCTCTTCATGAAAACCCTAATGGATCCTTCTTAATGGATATTAGATCCTTATCCAATAACCACTAGCTTAATATGTATTGGATCTCAATCCAATAACCACTCTAAGCTCTAGGTTCTATTGAGTCTCACCTAATGGATCCATTAAAATAGGAGTTTATTCGATATCTCATATTCAATCCTCTATTCGTCGTATTGTCCACCATTTGTATGTGACCTCCTAGGCCCAATATCGAGATGATCATGAGTTGCACCTGTCAGAACCCCTTTTGACTCAAAACTCCTGACTTAGTAAATTATTATCCCCATAATAATTCACTCAACTCATCAACTATAGATATACTTTAGAAAGGAAGGAGACCCCCTCCTTGTCTAAGACGTATACCAGGAAGAGCGACAGAAGGGTACATCTACGATGTTCTGCCCTTATTCTAGCCTCAAAATGATGGTGTCATGAGTATCGTCGACTGATGAGTCGGCCCGATTAGTTCACTACCGAAGGTGCAAGCTTATCCAAGTGCCTCTTCCTAGCTGACGTGAGAGACTTAGTGAGCTGAGACCGCATAGGTTGCTCAATTGAAATTCATTATGTTTATGAGGACTCGGTTTGTGATGGTCAGGTAGGTGGACCGAGATATTCCTGATTGCAAGGTTTCTCCTAGAGGGCAAGGTCATCCAGGTGTCTTCGAGCAACCGATAATCCTACATTATAGGTCAATATTAAGGGTTGCCCGACGTGACCTCTCTGATGCTTAAGTTAGCGAAGGGAAGAAGACAACATAGTAAATTGTATGACTGAGTTAGTGTGTAGAGAGCTCCCCCCCCCCCAGCGTGAGCTGATGGGTTCCTTTTTATACCTGATCCTTGGGCTTTCCTACTAGCTGGATGGGACGCACTGTGACACAATTTTGAGCTGGTGACTTGGCGCCCGACCTCCGTAACAAATGAGCTGGTATGAGACAAAATCGTCTCCCTATCATACTTACACTTACATAATTGAACTCAAGAGAGTCATCCTAAAAAGCATCTACCGAGTCAAAAGTCTAGTTTTTAAGATATGATACTGGCATAATAATCAGTCACTTAAAACTAAAAAGTTATTGAGACGTCAGCTGTCGCTCTACCTATAGCTTCAATGTTCACCGCTGATGGTGAAGCCAAATTAGTGAGACATTAGTATGATATGTTCAAAGAAGCACAAATATCAGTTTGGTAATGTTCACTAGCATAATGAAGTCCTGCTTGGCCAATTTTAGTGCCATTAGTGCCATTATTAGGAACTTCTGGAAAAACCACTTTAACTGATTACTTTGTGAAGTGGACTTCTCTTGATGCTGTAACCGTCACTCATTTCGTGGTCTACTATTTATGGTTGTACCTCTTAAATCAATCAATGTTATCAGACAAATAAGTGCTCTGTTATTCCACGAAAAAAAGTTTATATTATAATAGAATTTCTTAGGAGAAACACTCGATGGAAAAACTATGTGCATTTTCTGTAGCAAACGTTGCAAATAAGATGTCAGACACTTGAATCGATAGAAATGAGAGAGTAATTTATTTAGTGATAAGAATTTTATTTAACCTAATATCTCTCTTATCCAACGAGGGAGGTTTCAGGGGTGATAGTTGATTTTTTTTTATTTTTTTTATAAAAATAAGTTAGCTGATATTTTTACTAAGTTAGCTGATACTTTTAAAAGAAATTTTTTTACATAGTTAGCTGTTACCAAAAGGTCGCAATGAACTACTAGGGTTTTCTTCAATTGTAGGACGATGACTGTTGAGAAGACTGAGTCAACTACAAAGAGATAAGCCTCTTGGTAAGCTTATTGGTAGACAGTAATGGTGGGCAGATTAGTGGCTGAGAAGCAAGACAACTAAGCGAAGCTTCTCTCTCTATAAATGTTGTCGAAGCTGCTACCTGCCCTAACCAGCCGAGTTGAGAGGTGTTAGTCTTCGTAAGCGGTGTGTGTGCGCGCTTGCTTGCTTCGCGAGATGGCCAAACCGAGCTTTCAGTGTCTGGGAACGTCCATTGACGTACCGAACGTCCAAGCTCTTGCAGCTTCCATCGCAAACCCGGCTGACGTCCCTCCTCGATACGTCAGGCCGGAAGCCAAGGCTGATCCCGTCGTTAGCGACGGCGACAGCGAGCTTCCGGTCATCGATTTCTCCAGGCTCCTCCATCACCGTTTCTCTCGGGAAGAGTCTGCTAAGCTCCACCACGCCTGTGCAGACTGGGGCTTCTTCCAGGTCAGTCGATCTACGGATCGAAACCGTGTGATCCATAGCTGCAACATAACAAATCGTTGATGCTGACTAACAGTTGATAAATCACGGAGTTCCCGATCAAGCGATGGAGAACATGAAGGCTGATATAGTAGAATTCTTTAAGCTTCCCTTGGAAGAGAAGAAGGCATCTGCGCAGTTGCCGAACAGCTTGGAAGGTTACGGCCAAACCTTCGTCGTGTCTGACGACCAAAAGCTGGACTGGGCGGACATGCTGTACCTCATAACTCGACCACTGCACTCGAGGAACATCGATCTCTGGCCCGCTCAACCTCTCACTTTCAGGTTTATCTCGACTACTTGTGCTGTCATCTACTCAGCGATTCAGCTACGTACGTACGTATATGACGTCCTTTGCTGCTGCTTCATGCCGTCAGAGACTCTCTCTCTTGCTACTCCATGGAGCTGAAGACCGTAGCAGGTGATAGAAGATGATCCAAGATTGGTATCCTTGTCAGGAGCACCATCTTGTGGGGGCATGATAGAAGATAAGATTTTCTCATTATATGAGGAAATCTTATCTATTCTGTTGAGGAAAATCCTTCCTCCTAATCTGTATAAATAGGAGAGGGAACATGTTAATAGATTTAAGCTAAAGCTATTTCATTTCTACAATAAAGCTTCATTCAATATTTGTTCTTATCTTCTATTATTTCTATCATGGTATCAGAGCCGCTTGCCTAGAGCAAGCTCTCTTCTCGCTGCCAATTCATCATTGGTGTTGCCACTCTACGCCAACGTCCGTTCCCTTCTGCCACGGCATCTCTAGTACTGCTTATCAGCATTGCCCCACCTTTCTTTCTCGTTGTAGATATTTTCCTTCCTCTTCTGCTACAACTTCCTCTTCTGCTACAGCTTCCTCTTCTGCTACAGCTTCCTCCTCTGTTGCAGTTTCCTCCTTTGCTGTAGTAGCATCACTGCAACATTGCTGTAGATTTCTTCTCTACCGTCGCAGCCGTCGTAATCGCAACCACGACCAACGTCGTTGAGAAAAGCGAAGCTTCGCTCTTGCCTTCGGCCAGCGACCAACGTCGCTGAGAAAAGTGAAGCTTCACCCTTCGGCTAGCGATCAATGCCGTTGCAATCCTAAGAGGCTCTGTGGTCAATCCTCATCTTCCTCACCGCGGTAGTCTTCGCTGATCTGTCAACATTCGGCAGACTTAAGGAGAATGAAGGGAACGCCTGTGCCATCACAGCAACAGCAATCGTAGCAGCAGCAGCGATCTACACTTATCTTACTCATGAAGCCTCTCGCTTGTAAACCATTCTTTACATCGATCCAAGATTGGTATCCTTGTTAGGAGCACCATCTTGCGGGGGAAGATAAGATTTCCCCAACTTGATAGAGGATAAGATTTCCCCAATTAGATGAGGAAATCTCTCTATTCTGTTTATTCTGTTGAGGGAAATCCTTCCTCCTAATCTGTATAAATAGGAGAGGGAACATGTTAATAGATTTAAGCTAAAGCTATTTCATTTCTACAATAAAGCTTCATTCAATATTTGTTCTTATCTTCTATTATTTCTATCAGCAGGAACTTTGCTAGAGGTGATGGCGACGAATCTGGGGGTCGCGCCGGAGGAGTTCTCTACTATATTTCAGGACCAACCGCAGGGAGTGAAGATCAACTATTATCCCCCATGTCCAAGAGCTGACGAGGTGTTGGGCCTCTCGTCACACACGGACGGCACCGGCTTGACGTTACTCCTACATGTGAACGACGTCGAAGGACTCCAAATCAGGAAGGGGGGGAATTGGTTCCCGGTGAAGCCACTCCCCGGCGCTGTCACCGCTTACATCGGTGATATCATCGAGGTCATTAACTCCACTCAAACTAGTCGGAATCAACATATATCAATCATGTGCGATACTAATTCAATTCAAAAATAAATTATGTTTATAGATTACGAGATTCTCTCAATATTTACTAATGTAAAATTATTATTTTGATTTTTTTCAATATCTTCTTATATATAAATATTTTCTAACAAAAACAAAAGACTTTTTGAAATAGATACTGAGCAACGGTGTGTACAAAAGCCTCGAGCATCGGGCGATAATAAACCTCAAGGAAGATCGCGCCACGGTCGCTGCCCTCCATGGGCCAAGAGAAGATTCAGTGATTGGTCCTCTTGCAGAGATCGTGAAGGGATGCAAGCCAAAGTATGTGTCGATGAGCTACGGAGAGTTCATGAAAACTTACTTCTCCACAAAACTGGAAGGGAGGAGGCTCGTGGAAAGCCTCATGCTATAAAATCCTATAATGTTAAGAAAGTTTATAGTGTGTTGCTTGAACTTGATAATAAGTGTGTTTCAGGATAACGCTATCTACTTTATTGAAGCATCAAATAAACATCTAGTATAGTGTATATGAGTCTTTGTATGTTTAAATTTAAAGTGAGTTGGCTTAGTGTTTGTTGAGTTATTCAGATTGCTTAATATGTTGTTGCATAAGTAATAAATCTGAATGTTCATTATTTGATTTAATGACTTCTTTTATTTTTTTAAATAAGTAGATTCATAAATTATTTACTTTTCCCTCCCCCCGCCCCAAAAAAAAAAGCTAATAATGAAGTATAAGCATGAGTGCAATTTGAGTATACAAAGCAATAATAATAATTATTAGATGATCATCTTCATCTTTACAGTAACGAGAACATACCAAAATAAAAAAGGTCGTTCATCCATCAACAATTGATTTATTATTGGGTTAGGAAGTTGCATCATTATGATTCCCACATTGATGAGCCCAGTCACTTACATGGTCAATAGTCGAAGTCGATACCCTCCTAAAATAATAAAACTCATCATCTACCATCAAAACTTGGTTTTAGCTTAAATAAAACTCAACTTGAAAAACCCCGTATTTTCAAGAAATCCTCTCTCAAAAGCTTCCCATGTCATGATCTTTGTCAACTTGAAAACATCAAGAGAGGAGAGAGATTTTTTCATCTAGAAGGATCCACGACAAACATGGATTTTCAAGAGATCCTCTCTCAAAAGCTTCCCATGTGTGAGGTGATGGTTTCTCGTAATCATGAATCATGACATGTTAATCTTATCAACAAACAATAAATAAAATGTGAAGTAAATATTTGAGGGTAAAAATATATTATATTTTAATAAAAATATATTGATGATCAATCATTATTCGATACCTAATTGTCATATAGAAGATATCTAATCGTCATGTGAAGGTTAGTATGATAGGAAAGGCTCATATCACCATTCGTTTGTCTGCCCCATCGACAACAATCCAAGAGGGACTATTCAAGCTTGTCTCCGTTTTGTCGCCCATGTGGACAAAACGTAAATGAAGATATTGAGGCAATTACATGCTACTCTCTCAGTGGACTATGTATAAAAGCTAACCTCTAGCACAATGTCGGAATCTCTCTTCCCGAAAAAAAAGCTCAAACTCATTAAGTCCTCGACCACACTAGAGCATCAGAGTGATCAGGTCGAAAAATTCTCTTGACATCAAATTTTAGTATAGGTAATGCTCCGAGAGATAGACCCTCTACCTTGGAGTCACATCGGAATCACTTCAAAATCATCTATAGACTTTTCTATGTCCTCGAGTTCAAAACTAAGGGTCCATAATTTTGCATTACAACTTTTTTTAAAAAATTATACTGTTGCACCATCACTTTCATTTATCTATTTTTTAGGCCATGGACATGATGGGATTTATTGATTATTTTTATTTTTTTAATTATTTTCTTCAATAAAAAGAAAATACTAAAAATTCTCTTATACATATAATCCTCATAATTATCAGTCGTAAAATATAATGGGAATTAGGAAAATGACGGATATGATGGGAAGCATTCTTCTTTCGGCTAGTTGATACACTATATAAATAGTATTTTGTGATCATTTTCTTTCATAGTTGCTAAGAACCACTTGCATAAGTGTGACATTCATCTTTAAAAGAAATTATTTTTATGATTTCAATCATAATCTTCGATATGTAAAGGAATAATCCTCATCCTCACAAATGATAAGAAATAAATAAATAAATAACGGACTAATTTTAACTGTTGAATTAAAATCAAACAATAAGAACTGTGACTTTGATAACAATATTCTAACATGAAATATAAATAAATAAATAGATATCCGGCGTCGCATCTAATACACCAAACCGATCCAATAAAAAAGGGGGGCATGTCCCCCTGATACATGTCGAAGGGCCGAGCCGAAACTACGGCCCAATTCACGAGAGGTCAAACGATAACTAGGGTCGGATCTCAATCAGTAACAACGAGGATCCGATCCAAAATTAGAGCCGGACTTATATATAAGGTCCGACCAAAAACCGATACCGGATCCATCATCGAGATCCGATATCAACGAGCGCCAGATCGATGACGTCGTCCCCGCTGCACCGAACTTCCTCTCTCTCTCTGACTAAATACTTTGCTTGTGCAAATTCATCGTATATCAGAATCTAACATAGATATCCTTAATCTAGAGGGAGACTGTAGTTTCGATCTGAGAACAGTTTTGACTTGAATTCATTGTTTTCTCAAGCAATGACGATGTTACTTGGATTAAGAGATCAGGGTTGCTGAACTTATACACATTTGCTCTGAAAGCTGTCGTTGAAATGTGTGGCATCGGCTCGTTCCTTCACATTTCTTGTGGTTTCGCTTAAGCAGCACGGTCAAACCTTGGAGTAAAACGCAAGGATTTCAACGCTGGTGGACCATCGGGGAGCGGCGACGCTGAGCTTAGAAACGAGCTTAACGCTTGTCTTCTTCCTGTTCAATTATGTCTTCCCCATGACCTCGATCTGGAGAAATGGGGTTTTGACTTCGATCCGAGACCCCAAACACGCACGACCATGTGCCGAGAGGATGGATTGGCAGAGAAGCTCTTGGAACCGCGCGTGCTCGGTGGCTCCTCGCGATGAGCTCTCGCTTTACTCATCAAACACATGAACTTGCAACAACAGCATCCGGTTCTTCTCCTTGCTCTCATAAATCTAGTCTTGAGCAGGTTTTAGATGCTACGGATGCAAGCATAAGGCTTCTCACGTTCGTCTGCTGATATCTTCAACCATAGTTAAAGGAACACGGACACGCATTAAAACCAAGCATTGTTCAACATCCGAAGCTTCTCCTTACGAACGAACGACACATGGGACCATCTCGTGCCTAGACAGGCCGGGATCCCTAGCAAAATATTCAGTAATTTTATAATTGAGTTTGACAACACCACATAAAATTTTACAATCATAAAATTTGACTAATAGCCTCAAAAAAATCATAAAATCAGTTTTTATATTTGATATTTTTTAAAATTGCCCATTCAACTAATAAACATAAAATGTAAAGTGAATTTCCTATTATCAAAATAATTTATCAAATCAATATTTGAAAATATTATGATTATAATTTAACATAATTTCGTGTATGTGATTATATAA